ATCCTGATAGTCGTTTTCGTCTCGGGACCAATTTCCTCAGGGCTGTCATCTGGCCCGTTTGTCAACAAGTACGGGAAGAAAATAATCGCACGCCTTTCTGAGCGCGTCAACTGATATCGAAAAGTAGTTCTTTGTGTGTCCTTCCTGTCAAAAAGTGTCAGACATCGACCCCATTCGTTAGGTGTCGTTTCAATGCCTGACATCCATCGTGGTAAACAGAAGGGAAAAATGTAACTTCACAGAAAATGTGGATGGCGTGTTAAAAGCTTCATGTCCAGCAAACACGGAGCGTCGGAATAATGCTAACACAACGAGTACCATTATTGTCACGTTTTTACGCATGCGGATGCCGGATTTACTTCTCGTGTTCCGAATTACACAGTGCTGACACGTTTGGAAACATTGACAGCGAAGTAACAGGAACTCATAGTTTTTTTTCGTTTTAATAAGAAGCAATTGCATACTCCCCAAATAAAACAGATTCGCTCATTTGAGACTTACGATGATTTGCGCTCGAGGCAAACCTTACTGAGCGTTTCCTACGAATCATTTCATGGCACGCAGCGACCAGAAGCAGTTCCACAGACGAATGGGTAAATTTCAAGTATTTTTTGGCGAATACAGGAACACAGATCCACTTTGAAAGCGCTTTCGTCCGGCTTCCGGGGAGCAAAGATCCGAGGCCCCATTTCTACCGCTCGATGATGCCGCAAAGGCCATAGCCAAAAAAGATCCCCAAAACCTGAAAGGAGTCAAAACTGCTCTTCGCACGTTCGAAGCGTCACCGAGGGACTTCGAGGACGGAAGGGACTTCGAGGATCGCTTAACTGACGGCGAGAAAGGCGACGCCGAACATCGTGCCGCTCAGGAGAGTCCCGCGCCTTTGGAGAATGACCTTTACTTTTTCCAGGCAGCCTTCCCACCACGTGTTGGCTATGCTGGATTCGCACTGCAGCATCTGCAAAAAGTGAAACCTGTTCAGTGTCTTCGACAGTTGTCTTTGCGGTTTCGTGCTCGGGGTTGGGAAAGGTCCTTTTTCTTCAGACCAGACGCGACTCAATGGTTCCTAAGCTTTTGGCTGCATGCAGCCAAAAGTCTGTCGACTCACGTCTCCATCCGGGTGAAGCCGACAGCAACTCCTTGGGTACTGGCCCTGAAGGTGATTGTTCGACTGCCAGTCTTGTGCACTCTCGATGCCACAACACTTAAACTGCAAAATAAAGAAGGTAGAAAATGATAAATGCACCTTGCCAATCGTTTCATCGGCGCACGGATGAAAACGAAGCCGTAATTTCTCACCATCCTCTGTACCTCATCCCAGGCGATTCTGACGGGACCTTCCGTCCGGTCATCGTACTCGATCAGAGATCTCTTCATGGCCACATCGATGGATTCCCCGAAATGGACCGGGAGCACGAACACCACCGCCCCCACCACGACCGAGACGACGAAGAGACAGGAAAGCAGCCACAGATACTGCAAGCGACACCCAAGTTGCCAGAATTGTCCACCCGAGAGAAGTCCATCTGCACAGGCGCAACGGCCACTAACCTGGGAGCATTTTATATATTTTTCCGGGTAGCAACCGACATCTGACAAACACCT